ATTTTTTAGTGGATGTATAAATACTGCATATAGATAGGTCGACAACCTGTTACACTATCTTCATAACTACGTTACGTGTTATATCCTTTGTTTAATTGAGCTTCCAAGAGCATATTATTAATATCATTTGGCCTAATTACTAAGCCTACACTGCCCATTCAATTATATCCTTCGGAAAATAGTTGAAGGTTGCACAGGAGAAAGTAAAAGAAACACTCTGAAAGAGTTACTCTCATTGACACAAATGTCACCCTTATAAGTTATCACTAGTTTATCATACTTCACTAAATCAGGGGCAACTGTTGATTTTAGTCTGTTCTAGTTTTATGAAACATTAGCAGAACCTGAACAAAAGAATCAACATTGAACCTGTCGCTTAAGGTGAAGAGTCAGTTATGAAGGTTAGTGTGAACACAAAGGTCGGATATGTTTCATCTGACGATTTCTTACTATGGAACGCCAAAAGGGCAACTTTTAAACACAGTTGATTTTCAAGCACAGCCGATTTTCGAGCACACTCACTCAAACAGTTGATTTTCGTGCACATTCGATTTTTTGAGAAAAAAAACCCCCAAAAAACGAGTTTACGATGACCCTCAGCATTTAATGAATATATATGCATTACCACAATACAGGCCCTATAAAGCAACTGCATCACCGTCCGTCAATGTCCACAACAAACGACTTAAAAAATGGAAGAACATGAAAAGTGACTACAGAAACGGCCGCATCATCATCAACAACCAGCAACAGCAAACACACCGACAACAACAACAACAACAACAACAACAACAATAAAGACAGCAGTATCAACAACGATAATTACAAAAAATACAACAGCTAGCTAGGCTTCCTGTTCAGTACCAGCACTTTATTTGATTATCGTCATAGAACGCTTTGAAAATTAGGCTATCTCGTTTGTTTTCTGTGCTTTGATCAGCTCAGAGAGGTCCAGCGACCATTTTGGCTATATGAGCGTTCTGATTTCTACCACTGCGTTGATTTTAGGGCTAGAGACGAAGCAGAACAACTGTCATGGGAACAATGAACATAGGTCTAGTACTGGGTCTGTATGAATTTGTATTCCGACAACAATAACAACAACGACGGCGACGACAGCAACAACAAATTCAATAAAAAAAAATAAATAAATAAAAAAAAAAGCACGATTAAACCAAAATTCTGGTAAGAACAGATGAAAATAAAAGAATGATGAATGGAACCGTACAATAAATGGAAAAAAGATAATGCTTTTATGTAGTTGATAAAGTGGCTGCTTATATTAAATGAATACAGGTTTTCCACTTCCAATGACAGATCGAAACAAATTTTGTGTTGATTTATGAACTATAAAGTTTAAGATGTGTATAAGAGACAGCCTTTGGGTGTACTCGGTAAAAAATGGAATTACTCGCTGCTCATTTGCATACCGGTATAAGCTGTCCGTTGTGGATTATGATTTTCTGTTATTTTAATTTCCTGTCGATATGGTTTATTGAAATGTGTTGTGAATGTTCTTCTGCTGAGCGTCATTGCTCCTTCGGGCAACATATTCTTCACACAGAAAGTGTTTACCATATGTACATTTTCACAGATTTTAAATTAATGTTGATGCACCTCGGCTGCTGCGTTCGTTTCCTTTCCAAAAATGCACCAACATGCCTCCCCCACTCACCCCAATAGGCCTATTGTGAATTATATGATGGTGCATCGTGTCATAAATAAAGAATGCAGTTGAAATACAAATAATTATAACGAAAGTCAAATGCACTTTAACATGCGTATTGCAAATTTGAAATGTCACGAATCCTCGGCTGCCTACTTTACCAGTAGATAACTCTTAACAGCGGAAACAGCCCTATAAAAGGAACAAAACCATGTTTGTTTTGTGGTGTAATTTTCTCTTCTGCCCTATAAAACGATTTTGTACCGGAATGCTAGTCAATGTTTATTATCTGTGAAATATATTTTTGTAGGCCTAATTAGTTTTAATTCACATCAGTCAACCACCGTTGTGTGGCACATGCCTTCTCTTGTTGAGGATTTTCAAATACACAGGGTACCACCTATTTTTAAGCTCATAATATTACACAAATTGTCCCAGTGGGAACCTGATCCAATCTCATAGTTCATTTCGATAGACCTACCTAAACCAATTGTATACGCACTACACATGGGCAAAGGAATGTAAACAACTTCCGTCGACTACAGTATATAAATAGATAAATGTTTTGTGTAGTAAAATGATTTATAATAAGTAACGTCTAGGCCTCGAAGAGTTAAATATTGGTAAGGGGAAAGTTCTGTTGAAATTGAGAGAGCTTTCTATAGATATAATTATCCTAAAGTCCATATTCAGGTAATTATCCAGGTCCCGGGACAAACTCCAAACTGGAGCCCACATCGAGCCTCTTATTTGCTTTCGTGATGTTATAATTCTAATCTTCGTTTGAAAACCATTTGACTACTTGTGCTCACGGTTTGGCCTCCCGAAAAATCATTAATAAACCTCAGCATTTATTCTTCTGTTAAGACAAGGAGATGATTCCTCACCTCAGCTACCTCATCCCCCCGGGTAGTCTACTCTACCGTACGGTACCAGTTAGTACCGTTTACTTTATTGATGTCTGCTTAGATAATTGCCAATTTATAACTGTAATTTCGAAATAATCGAATTATATTTGATTTTTGATAGGGCCTATAATGACAGTTAACACGGAAGTTATCATTCTCGATTGAAGGGGTTGAGGGAACAGTATACTCAAAATATGATTATTTATTAGCATATGTTTATGATCTCGCGTGTTACATCTTAATGCGATGGACGCCGATCTAAACCACTTCATTTACAAACAATTAACCGAATGAGCCTGCTCATAATAATATTTACTGCGAAGAGCTATTTCACCTTGACACTCGCAGATATTCATATTCATTCGGTTTTTGTACAATTGTTTCCAGTGGGTGTATCAGGATATGTTTATTTGTGATACTGATCTCTTGTTGATCTGCTGGTGGTGCCGGTCGAGTGGGATTTTTGTTGTGATGCACAAAATTGTTTGTGTGGATAATCGTCGATAACCACCACGTTTTATTGAATATTAGTCATGCAAATCAAGATAGTATACTAGAGTATTTATTGCAATCAAAATATATACATTACTTATATACTTATTAAAGTATGCATGTCCTTGTGGACACAATGATCAGTAGCGTATCTAGAAGTCTTTAAATGGGGGTGCTGATGGCCGGAGGGGGGTGTGAAGGTGAAGTGGGGGGGCTCGATGATCAGTTGAGGTGCGCTAAATAAGGTGATTTTTAACTACTTAAATGTGATTTTTGGGGGAGCGCGAGTAATTTTTTTGTGGGGCGTATGCAAACTGGTGGGGGGGGGGGCAGTAATTTTTAGAGGGGCGTGCTCCCCCCGCACCTCTAGATACGCCACTGACAATGATGTATAATAACAATTAGATAAATAATATCAAACTAAGGTGATGAAAATCTTTGCCATATACCATTTCTTGGTAATAGGCCGAATGCACTAACGAATTCATCATTGTACATGGGTAGCGATCTCTTTTTAGCAGCTTTTTATGCTATTCCGGTTAATTTTAATCATTGAAATCATGATGATATCGATTTTTTTTTAATTCAATTATTTAATTAATATTTAGAGGAGGAACTGTTAGGTCCGATACCCCAAGAAAAGGGAGGGGTAGAGAAATAACTACTCTATTGTACAGTACGGTACTGTATAAAAATGTACTGTAGGCCTATTCTTTCCAGTCGCGTGGTGGCATTTATTGAGAGACCTTGACTTTTGTGGTTGTCGTAGACCCCACCTCTACCTCTGTGGTTGCAATTATCGTACTCTTTAGCCTTGGTTGTGGTGCCGAAATGTGGTATACCACCGAATTCACCATCTAATGTACTGTATCTACTGTTTCGTGTTTATCCTTTCCACAATAAAGCAAAATACTGTACTATTCGAGACGCAAACAGCTGTGTAATGTCTTTGCGGTATGTTTAGTTGTGATAGCCAATTTGTACACGTCATTGAAAGTGCGAGATTCTAGATTTAGAATTTGCTTATTTTTAGATGCAGACGTGTGGAGTATTGCTAGAATAACAAAAGTATGGTGTAGTAATGTGTTATAGATTATTGTATGTGCTCAGCTAAAAGCAAGCTTAATAAAAACATAATTCAATACTTAGGCTACATTGCTTTCTGTGTGTACTTAAATATAAGTTATCGATTGGAGCTTTGAATTGAAAATTAAAGCGAAAAATTCATCCTCTCTAATTAATGTAGTACGGAACATATTTAATTCTTTGCCCTTTGACCTTAAATTAGTCCTCAGAAGAGTAGTAAAATGTCTGTAAATCAGGGAAAACAAATTGTTTTAATTTTGTTTCTCATTGTAAGTTGATAGCGCATTTCATCCTTTTTATTCGACAATTCAAAGTTTTATATTATACAGTATATTAACGTATCAAGGGGAATATTACATTATATTATTTCAATAGTAATTTCACGGTCAAGAATGCAGGAATTCAAATACATTCGGAATTTCATATGAAGTTGCATCGCATGGTACTACAGCGGAACTAATGGATGTACATTTTTAACCTGGTGGCCATGGATGACTTTGTATACAGATGTATGGGATTGTTGACAGATTATCAAGTCGCAGACTATCGTGTCAAAAGCCTCCCAAGTACATCGTCACCGGCCTTTTATAGGCCTACAACATGGCTAAGCCCTAAAAAGCTAAAACTTGGATGGTTCACGCTCCAGCAATTAAGTCACGTTGCTTGACGTATAAACGCAGCAATAAACGCTATTTTTGAGCATTTGCTTGCGTTTGTGTTCGTGCGTCTAAGCTGCTCAAGTTAGGATGTTTAAAAATAGATATACCTCCGTGTCCTAACCCTGTCATTCTATACATTTTTTTTTGTTGCTAATCGTATCGTCCTTGTTTTATTCCCCATTCGTATAGGTGCGTGATCTGGTCAGCCGATGTACTTGCCCTAATCAGTTCCCGATGATTCGAGTCGCAGAAGGAAAATACAGAATAGGAGATTCAAAAACCAAAATATATGTTAGGGTAAATATCAGATTTTAATTTTTAAAATATAAGCCTATTATTAAGTTAAATATATTATCTTCACATTTTAATAATATGAACGAAAATTCTCATTTCAGTCTGCTGTGTTTAGTGGCTCTATAGGTTGGTTTCACACTAGATTAGACGTGTAAACGTATAGCGTTTGTATGTGCGTCGACGCGTCTGAATTGCTCTAAGTGTGAGCCAAACCTAATGCCCTTTCCAGACTATCAAATTTTATTTTACAAAAAAACCCTGTTGTATGCCCATATACAGTCATGATGTGCCTATATATGGTCATGATGTGCCTATATATGGTCATGATGTGATGTCATGACCATATCGAGGGCATGTCACATTTTTGTCAAATAAAATTTGATAGTCCGGACAGGGCTTAAGATTATCGTATTAATCAGTGGTTCATGGGATAGTCGCGCATGAGCGCGTAGTATATGCACTAAATTGTAACTTATCGTGGAACCGGATAGGCCTATACACTGTAATAATAAAAATTAAGCATTCAGACACGTAACCGTAGCGTTGCTAACGCTAATCACACCTTACGAGGGTATGATAGTTAAGATTAGATGTTTCTAATAAAGAAGTCGCGAGAGCAATAATTATATAGGTCCTAGTTCAATGTCAAACCAGGGTGTGTTTATCTGCTTAATCCTAGCTATTACAGTGAGTTGTATCTATATTTCCTGTCTGACTCCTAACCTGGGTCGAGAGTTCGGACTCGTGTTGGGTGTACAGTATCTCACGGGTACTTATCTTGCTTATATGCTGTATGGTTATTACTTTTCCATATTTTAATCGGGGTATTATCGGGTGTTTCCGCTGCGGTGTTTTTCGAATTAAGCCCCAGGCCTAAGGTTATATATAGAGATGATGAATGTCCCTGATGCCAATAATGGTAATGGTGACGGCAATGATCATGATTTTCTTGTTTTATGACGATTAAGGACAAAATTAGATTAAGGTGGTGATGATTGTTATGATTATTATTATAATACGACGCATACGACGATGATTATACAGTACGTAGTATTTAAAAAAATAATAATTTCCTACTTTATCCATTATTTTACCCATAAACTGTGTATGTTATCATTTTGTCGTAGTGTCATTTATTGAACACGCCTTTTTAAAGTTAAATTACTCTGTACCGTAATCAGTATTTGAAGAAAATAAATGTTACTCTGATAGAATGAAAACAAACAACAATGCTAGTGCGCAAATGATGATCAATGTAATGACGATGGTATGATGATGACGATGATGATATTAACCATGACGAAAGTGTTGGTAGGCTATGATCGGATGGGTATAGTCAATGTGTTGATGGTAGAAAGATGGTAACAGGTATAACCATCGGTGATGATAACAGTAATAAATATGCCTAACAATATTTATGATAATTGAGACCAAAATGAAACAAAAAGGTGATGACATTTTTAAAATTATGATATCAACGTTTTGTAGTGTCTGTGATAGTAGTTGACGATATATAGCTCCTTGTTTTTAGTCTGTAAATTTCTGCTTCACTTTGAAGTAGGCCTACATTAACAATTTACGTCCTGTATCAGCATTATTAATATTCATTTACCATTTCATTATCGTTGACAGATTCTTCGCAATCACGTGATGGTTCGAGTTGGCGGAGGCTGGGATACATTAGAACATTACTTAGATAAACACGATCCCTGCCGATGCCTAGGTAAGGATGCCGAATGTGAGTAAAGTGCTTTTCGATTTATCGTTACAACACGGAAACCAACTTTACCGCACGAGAAATCACTCGCTTTATTCAACGATAACTTCTGGCTGCTGGGACACATTGAAATGTTTATCATGATTAACTCATAAGTTTTTAGTGTATTTTGCATCCAATATCATTATACACGGCACATAAAACATAGCCCTACACCCCACCTCGTTCTTCGCACGATGCGTAGTGAGTCCGTCGAATTTCAATTACTGAAGACAGTATGTGGCCTGGTGAATAAGGTTAATTTTCGAAACATGTGTGATCAAATTTGATTCTTTGTTTCGTATTATATTGAACAAGAACTTTATTCAGTAAGCTTCGAATCCCCGTCTTTGTTGCATGATGCCAACAATAGGTTTATTCAAATTAGTTTAAATGCATAGCTCATCGTGCCCGGTACATAATAGTATTTTTATGATTATTATCATTTGTGGGAAAGTTCATTGTCATATCCAAGCGAAATTTAAACCAAATACGCTTGTACTGTACTAATAATATTTTATCACCTGGTGGTCGTACGACGGTTAGTCCCGCTGAGCATGAACACAACGCTACTATTACTCCAAGGGCCAAGGATCTGGTCAACATGTGCTCATTTTTAAAATCTTCACGACAATCAAGTACAGGTTTTCTTCTTGTATTCTAAAATCGCTTCCTCCCCCCCCCCCCCCCCCCCCCTTTTTTTTAAATGCGTTCTTTAAAATCTTCATAAGCTTGTAATTCTCTTAGTATTTGATAGGGGATTTATTTATTCTTACGGGATAGCATTTTCAGCAAAGTAGGCCAACTGGTGAACGATTTCTAGAGCGCATGGTAACAAAAATATAATGGTTTTTAAATACTTATTTCATATTAAAATTCATCTGGACAATCCATTTTTGAAAATTCGTCGACGAGATAATAAATAATTAAGTCATCTTCAAATGAACAAAGAAATTCCAACTTCCTGAGTTCATTCCAATTATTGTACAGCCCAGCCAAAAATTATACTGTAGAGGGCGGTTGATAAAATTGACAATGCTTTCACAACGAAGGTATCCCTTACCACCGTGGGAACAACCGATAGATTCTACTGTATTATAGTTGTCAGAAACTATAATCACACTGCATGAAAATGATCCGACATTGATCCGTATCGGTACTCATTAACTTCAATCTATCGCGAGTGTGTATGTAGCGGTCAACCATTAGTTAAATCTGAGTATCCAGTAGAGGTGGAATAACGCGATCAAACCGTCTTGATTGACACTGATTGATGACTTATATAAAGTACATGGTTTAATTTGGGATGTATCATGTATGCATTAATACAATAGTATATGCATTATTCACATTAATACGGATTTTGGAATAATCATCTCATCAGCCTAAACCTAATCTGAATATTTAGTTGCATGCCATATCAACATCATTTATAAATTTCTTGACAGTATCGTTATAGTATTATTATTATATTATACATATACAAACATATAGCCTAGGCCCAATATAATATTGTAGATTGGGTAATTTTAGACAATTAACAAATACATACTACGGTGTTTATATATTGCATGCCATTACCAACATCGTTATTATATTTATAAATTTCTTGTACGTAATAGTACTTAAATATTACTATATACTACTACAGCTTACGACTATTATTAAATCATGTATCATGTTCGTTCGTTCGTTCGTTGAGGTTTTTTTTTTCTGGTCTAGCACAAGACTTCAGGCATTTGCCTTTTTCGTGCACTATTGTCTGCACAGTTGTTACAAAGGAAGTCAATCAATTGCTTTGAATTAAATTAAATTGAATTAATAATATGCCTACATATTATTACGTCTCTGCGCGGTACACATATCAAACTAGTAATTAGGGTTTCTCGGTCCCTTTTTACAAATGACTTATTAATGTCCAAAGCGAATTTTAACGTAGACATTGTTAAGTTATTGAATAATAAACATAATTCTAGTGTATTTAGCTAGATGCTGGTAAAATCAAAGATGGATAGTCAATGCGCTGAACAGTATGACATGTTTCGGCTCGGAATAATTGAAAATCCAGCCATTTAGATTGGCCCATTCGTTGTATATCTCTTTGACATCGTTGTCATAAGACAGAAATAAACCGAATTACTCACACCGCTGATTCATCATCATTTGTAGTATTATTAACGGGTTCGGGTTCTAATTATTGAGAGAACACGGGTTATAATCAACCAATTAGACAACCTAATTAATTATTTGTTTGTTTTTAGGGTTTGAAAATTTGTATAATGATAATGTTATTTTATATACATATATGTATCTTTTCCAGGTCATCGATCTCACAATCTTTACCACAAGACGACGAAAAGCGCCCCCGGAACAGATAGACCAAAACCATCTCTGGGAGATCGAAGGTAAAGTACCGTACTTTTTGGAAGAATCGATGACGTCATGTTTTTAAACTTTAAACACCACATCTGCCTTTTCAGTATTTTAATTCATGTAGTAATTTAAATAAAGTTTATGACGTCATATTTCATTTTGGGTTGGCATTCCTAATGCTATGAGTCTGTTGACATAACATGAAACATCCTGAGCTGTTCACTCCCTGATTGGTTATGACGCATTGCGTACGTTTGAATGCGATGCGACGCGTGTTTGTAATAGATCATATCACATATAAAAGAGGAACTAAATCACATCATCAGTAGGTTTGTTTTGGTTGTGTTTAGGACTACCCTTTTCCGTGTTTATCATTAGTGCAATAATCACCACTACTAGGCCTATTAGAAGTTGTAAATTACGGAATGTTTTTACTTTGTTGGATCCTCTTACACAATTCTTGCAAGGCCGTGTTATTCTACTGCTTTGTTGATAGGCCTATCTATATCGCAATCCTATATCCTCCTATTGTTATTAAGGCGCCTCATTAGCCCCACTATGTCAGTACCGTATTCAAATTCGATAATAGGCCTAATTAAAATGGAAGGAAACAACTGCTTTGGGCGGTACCGGCGTAGTTTCAACCAAATAATTAAATAATAACAATTACAAAATAATTATAAGCATCCTCCTCAAAAAGGGTGTGGGAGATACCAGGTGGTGAGAAATACTATTTGGACGAGGCCTAATTACGTTTATAGAAATTAAAATAATATCTTCGATTAAGGCCTGTGTGTCTGCTTCTATTTTGTAATGTGCCTGCTACGGGTTCATGTAATGATTTAGGTAAGCCCATAATGATTCTAAAATGCATGTTGAAATATAAATATCCTGAGCTATCCCGGCCTTTAATTGGCTCTCTGGTGCTGGACGCGCGTGCTTAGAATGAAATAAGACACTTAATAATTTCTATGGAATTAGCACTTATGCCTAACCAAATATACTTCTTTGCAGTATGTTTTTTATGTTTTATATTCTAATTTGAATGAATAGCATTTATTATAAAATACTCATTTTATGCATTCTTCACAGAGCTTCGACTGCAGAGTCGCCTGTTCGTAGACGCCCGTCATTACATCACACCGAAATGAACCGTCCAAGGTCTGCAGTGGAACCCAGTATGTCGAAAAAAGAAAACTCATCTTTAGAACATATTCCTAAATCAACTAGTTCGCCGGGGAATCTACAAAAACCATCAGTTACTAGGAGTCCATCTCGACGTTTAAGTGAAATTAAAAAGGCTCAGCTGACAGCCACACTGAGCGACTCGGGGACAAGGCGTACTAACAATCTCAGCACACCGGAGTCTTCCTGCATGTCAAATTCGCCGTCATCTTCTCCAATTCCTATACGACGACCTCGCCCGGGGTCGTTTTGCTCACATAGCGCATCGAATAGTCCTGTCATGCAAAGGAGACACGGTTCTGTTGAGTCTGCCTCGCCTCTCACTAAAAATCACGATGGACGTAGTAGTCTGGTACGACACCCGTCTATTAAGAAGCGGTCTGAATCACCTGGGATAAGTCGATCCTCAACATGGCGAAGATCCTTTAATTCGGGAAGTTCTTCGACAACTTCTACGCCTTCTTTGAGCAGGCACAATAGTGATCTAAATGGCAGTAAATTGTCTTCTTCCAGTAACAGACGCCATCTTGATAGGGACAAAAACTCCACTAGCGACCCTGCTTTCGGCAGGTCACATTCAATGAGGGAAAAGAAGACAACGCCAGTAACAGCAACATCAGAATATCTTAAACAATTTCGGAAAAAGAACCAAATATCCCGCTCTCGAAGCAGCGACCCTGACAGGCGGGTAGCCAGTTGTCCCACAAGTCCAGAACAGAACAACACCACCACTTCATCTTTTAGCAGCAACGCTAAACTAAGAAGTGTAAGCTCAACATCAAGGCTTGCCAGACCAGAATCTCGAAACGCTATCGAAATTTATGGTACACTTGGAAGAAGGCCGCGATCTGCTGGTGCAGGCCGGGAACGTAGTGAAAGCCCTGCCACAAAGCTTAAAGATCAGTTGAATATTTCCTCTCCAAGGGTACTTAGACGAGCTCGTCCCGCATCTGCCAAAGCCACGGTAGGTCGGAACTCTAGCTCAGGTAATTTAAAAGACAAGTCGACGATCATGATTTCACGAGGTGACGATGGTCGACACAGACTAGACAGTACTAGTAGTTCAGAGTCACTGGACAGTAGATCAGAGCGGTCAGAAATGGATGACCTTCTCCAAGCAATTACGTCACGATGGGGTTCTGATAATAGTAAACTCGATGATGACGAGGTTAAATTACGACCTAGCAATAAAACCCGAGCTTCTGCGTCCGGAAGCACAAGCAGTTCTGCCAGGAGTAGTTTAGATATGGAAAATTACAATTATCAGAACTATGCTGGTGGATCGAAAGCTGCACTAGCTCGAGCAAACCAGAGGTCGCGACCAATCAGTCGATCTAAACCATCGGACAGGCCCAGGCTAACACCAAAAGCTAAGCCGCAAACGAAAGATGAGTCTGTTAAACGAATGCAAAGAGAGGAGACGCGATCACGGAGTATAGGTTCCCCAAAAAGTCCTAGGAAAACCTTAGACACCAGTGGAACGCGATCGAGACAAATTGGTGGTAGGGGAAGTGGTACTGTACGTAGTCGGAGTTGCCACACAGAACCCGACACACTGACCAATGGAATGCCGATTCCTAGGTCGAGGTACCTTTCTGATCGGGACTCGAACCATCTGAGCTCTAGTGTTGAATCAGATTCATCATTGTCACGTATCAAACCATGTTTCCCTATACCTCAGCATCTAAAGATAGAGGCTAGGCTTCATACACCACTTCGCAAGGAACTAATATCCAGCGATAGACCTACCAAGATCCCCTTACCAGTTCATCATCAGTCTAACGTTGTCTTCTTGAGGTCTAACAAACCGACAGCACGACGAAATGGTCGCTGCTTTTCTATGCCTGATTTAGAGGACAGGATTGAACATTCAATGAATATGCCTAAGATTATCAAAGCCCAACCAAGACCCACCGAACGAGATTATTCTTTCAGTAGCATAGATTCAGTCTCCCCAACTCAACATGATTCTGGTTATGAAGATGGGCGTAACGATGGGACGAGCAAGTCGTTAGCAGCTAGAGGAGTTACGGAATCGCATTTATAGAATTACCTGTGTAGGCATAATGATATTATTACGAAGCCCTTCCAAAAAATTGTCAATGTTTGGCCAAGCCTAATTCTGAAATGTTTGTAAATTCATCAGTGAAATAATTGTAATTGTCCTAAATTGGATGTTAAACGTAGAAATCAATATTTGCTAAAGTTATAAGAGCATGAGAAGCAATTTGTGGTAGTTCCAAAATCCTGACCAAAAATCTAGGTCAGGAATTTCGCTTAGGACCAATACACTTTTTTCTGCTAATGTTACCATTCGTCTTGCAATTTGCCATTCATTATATGCACAGAATGCACAACTTTAAATGTAAAATAGAAACATTAGATATTGGAAAAGAAATATATCGTAGATAAATTAATATAATGATGTGCCAATTCAAAAAGTATATGTATGTATGAATATGAAATTCCCTTTTACCTAGCAGTGTGCATTTGTAAACAGATTGCGCGCGTTTTTTCTCAGGCCTACTTTTTAAAAGTGGTTCGAGAGTTGGAGCTTTATCGTAGTGGTTTGAGACAGTACTGAACAGTATGCACCAAAGTAAAGAATGTAGAAGGCAGGCCTAAACGACTCAACGAGACCAAGTGATAGGAACTGAAACAGGTGGACAGGATTTTGATACAATAGAAAACGGAAAGAAGAGAAATGGTTAGTGGCAATGTCGACGCAAGTGTGAAAACGTAATGTAATAGAAACTTTAAATGACCAAATCAAGACAATCAATCGTTAAAGTATATTTTACGGAAAATATCGAAAAGAATTCGGAGGTACTGTATACAATACGGTATACTGTACCACGGTTCTGTATCAAAACAACTCCAAGTTGTATCTTGTTTTTTTTAACATCGGGAACAGTTATTATTGTGTGATCAACATAGTCTATTTTATCGAATTATGTCTTTCAATGTAAAGAGATTTCATTCTTATACTATTTATCATTGCCACTGTGTTTCATAAAATTGAGAAGTTTGATGGAACGAGATTAGCTATGTAAACAGCGGCCGTGTGCATTCACTTTCTTGCCTGAACGTTGAACAAGGCGAAGGGATAGCTCAGAGAAAGAAGCTAAAGTAGGCCAATAATAATTATTATAGCTTAATATACACGTGATATTGCACAATATAATTACAATTTCCTTCGGCTTAAACACCTTGATTTAAAATGTTAGTCGGACATGAGTAAAAGTAAATTGTTGTAACGCGAGTGTTATAACTCGACTTTCTATTCATTCATTAAGATCTTTTTGAAGAGGACCAAAGAAGTACTTCATAATAGGTTAAGATTTAATAATGGAAATAAGTTAAGAGTCAATCACTGGTGTATGTGGACCATTAAGTTACATTTTAATCAATTCTGTAATTTTTTGTCGATTGGTCTTCCGAGATTCTGTGATTTTTGTTGATCGTTTTTCGTTCGATTTTTCTTGTTCTCTTCTTCCATAATATTTTTTGTTGGCGGTGATCTGTTTATCATTCCACTATTTCTTCTTGTCAGTGAATTTCGTAGATCTAACAGGCTGAACACAGCAGTTGTGCGTAGTTTTTTTTTCTCCCAAAATGTTGGGCATTAGTGGCACGCACTTCAGTTGGACGGAATTCTATTGATTTATATATTTTAAAAACAAGTTTGATGTATATATTTTATATCGATTGTAAAGCATTTTTGACTATTCGGTGATGAAGCAGTGATCTGTTAGCTTATTTATTGACTGGCTTTAACCATAGTCTAGAGGCCTTAAATATGTTGTACAGCCTTTTAAGCACTGATAGATATGTGTGTGTGCGCGTGAGTGTGTGTGAGAGAGCCCGTGCGTGTACGTGCGGGGGACGTGTAAATGTATCGTGAACAGAAAAAATGACTTTCTTTACATGACAATTAGAATATGTGGATATATAAATATATATAAAGGTTAAAGGTTACAATGCAACGTGTTTAAGACAATCGCCATACAACATACTTATGCAAGTTAATGTTCGGTTAAAATTTTCTCGGCCTACTAGAAGCAGTGAAAATTATGTCACGCCACTGAAAATTGCACTTGAAGATATTATATAATTAGTAGAGAACTACATAGATATATGTTCTTGCATAAAGCTAAACAATATTTCTTCGTGATAAATGTTATAAATTCAAACTCATTGGTTTAAAAAAAAACAACAGTGGTTTGAGTGCCATTTATGCTTAAACTGATATCAAAATAGTTTTATAAACATCATCTGAGTCCTAATACCTGTACTCAACAAATAGTGCCACATTATCCAGGTGCGACAAGTTGTAAAACTATGGAACGCCGTTGCTGACTTCCGTAGGGCAATCATTATGCAAACAGCGTTCCATAGTTTGTCGACGCCCTGGAACGTGGCAAAAGTGTGCAGACGATCGTAGGTGAGCGATGCTTTTCACTGCAGTGTATTCTTGTTCCTTACACGTAAATGCTGCCATCCGTCTGTGTAAATCGTGTGCTGTGATGGTAATGAAATTCGCGTGGGAAATGCAATAAATAAATATATCAAAAGAGATCATATTTTCCGAGTATTTCTTTATAATTTGCCTTTAGAAAAAGTTTACAAGCAGAAATGCATATTGCAAACATAAATATAAATTAAACTGAACATAAATAACATATAACAAATACATAATTTTAGTATTCCAAAATGATATACAAAAAATAAAATATATATAAAACATATTAAAGAAAAACCAAACATGATGTTGGTTCTGGCCAGCGTCTTAAGCCTATATTTAATTTCGTGGTTTTAATCCATTTTCCTACCATTTTCCCTTTAATTTCATTCACGTAAAGCACACATAAGCCCCAAAGCTACACAAAGGAGCTTGATTTTAACATCTAATAGTGATAAATTGTGTTAATAACATTCAGCAATAATCTCATACATAACTATCATATACTTACTGAAGCCCAAATTAATCCTTCTATGCCTGTTGAAAATTTAAGAATCCTTGGCTTCCTCCTGCGATAGGAGACCAAGACAAGCAGTATCCCCAAAACTGAAGAAACTACAACGCTCCCTAAAATATACAGTTATAAAATTCATAAATTACTAAATATGCAAATATGAATTGAAAAACCCAATCAATCATGGCACAAAACAAATAATATAAATATACCAACATCAAAACAAATACAACCAAACCACATCTAAAAATTATCACAATACCAACATTCACAAGAAGTTTCCAAAACTCAAAATGCACATTAAAAAAATACCTGACCACACCTTATACATTACATTTATCATTACGGGAATTAGCGTCAGATAAAATATCGATGATTTAATTTAAGTTAAATTTCTTGTATGCAGTAAAAATTTCATTAAAAAACAGGAATGCATTAAGTTATTCTCACTGTTAACTTGTCTCATCTTGTCCTCCTTTGATTTTTATTAAATACTGCAAGCAAAGACCATTTTTTTTCTTTTTGTAATTTTCTCTTTCTTTTTTCTTTTTCTAATTTTCTGTTAAAATCTAATAACTTATCAAAACATACAAATTAAGAAATTCAATTTAAAATAGTTCTGAAATTAAGGTGGTGGTATTTTATACACTTTGCAGCCAATGAATACACTATCTATTAGTGTTTGTAGCCAGTACCTTTATATAGTACATAACAAATTGTATGTATTAAGGGGTACCAAATTCCCCAAATAATGTGCCTTTATAAATAAGTTGAAATCATTATAAAAAATTGTTTTCATTAGTTTGAGCCCCTATTAATAAATACATCCCAAGCTCCTCATTAAACTTGACTCCCATAACTATTATTGTTTACATCTGCCTAATGCACAGGAGGAAATATTGCAGCCTGTCATGGGCCACAAGTGGCCCAACTGCAATTTTTTGCAACCTGCGACAATATTACATGTTTGGCCCACCTAGAAAACCCATTGTTTTTATGGCTAGACACCAATCATCTGTAAAAAAATATTATGTAAACTAAGTATAAAAGTAGTGCCTGAAGGTTTTTATGGAAATGTCGATGTTTTTGGATGTGACCCTCAGTGTTCAATCAAAAGTTGCCCTCCGACCCTATTACGCCCACCTCTAGGCTAATGGGACTGCAGTATATGTAATGTGTAACACAGTGTAATGTAATACTCATAGACTATAACCTAGTAAAGTACTTATTATAACTCTGATCTCTGTGGGAGAATATGCTTTCTCCATCTCTGGTCATTTGATACATAAACAATGATGTACAACGTATAAACACCATCATTCTTTGGTACAGTATATCTAAACCCACTGCATTTTAAGCTATTCTATACATCTAATGTACATGCTAGTATCACATTTACAAGGCACAAACAAACGATTCTAGAAAAATATTTCCAACATTGGAAGATAAAATACATCAATAAAATACACTGGTCATCCTAATTATAAATAGTATAAATCTTATTTAATTCTTAAATATATATAAATAAAAATTGCTGTTTGAACAAATTGATTTTTTTTTTCTACATTTGTTAATTGGTGAAAAAAAAACAATAAGGGATTGTTTCTCAATGGACTACCAAATTCGCTACCAGGACACCACTGGAAATAATAAAAAAAGATTTTGTATATAGCGTTCACATATATTTTAAAGAAAATGCTCATTTTTACTGTCACTTAACGTGAGTACCAAATTTCCTTTTTTTGAGCAATAAAATTTAACTTTAACTTAAGGAAATAAACAGCTGAAAAAGAAAAATTTGGAAAACTAAAAACCAGTAAATATCCTACAAACAAGAAAGCAGAGCAACCAGAAGAAATTTTCAAACTTTTGTGGGTTGTCCTTCGTGTATTTCACATTGAATAAATCCAATCCAATAATAAATAATGATAAAAAAATAATAATGAATTTAATAACGTTTACAACTTATGATCATCATCATTTATGTATTTATAAATATTTTTTCTGAAAAATATTTTTAATTTTTAAATGAAAGTTTGAATTTTATTGTTCAGATAATCTTTAAAATATGATCAAGAAAATTTGTAGTTTGAACTGCGCATGCCCGTGTCAAGGTCAAACAGCATAAACATACACATAACATAGGTTTATGTCGATTGATTGGCTCATTGGAATAGCATCCATCAACCAGGTTCAATGAAAGACACAACTGAGTAAATTTTCTTGCTTAAAACAACACTATAGAAATATTTGGCTATTATTTCAACCTGTTCATTTCATCCGAGAGGACTTGTGTAATTCTGATAGCTTCCTGCGATTCTGGTGAGTTAATGAGACCCAACGCAACTTCTGCTGCTTGACGGACGTGTGAAATGGTATCGCCACGCCTATGAGAAAAGTAAAAGAAATACATGAATATGTATTTGATCGATAGGACAAATTAGAGTCAGTTTATGACCTATTGTAATAGAAGGTCATTTTTCACAAGTATTGCATTATTCAGATAAAAAAAGTTGCTATTTAATACCATTTCCCTGCACCTTTGACATTGATTAAATCAGGACATAGGTGAGGAACTTACCATAATGCAACAATGTACCGCACAGATTCTTCAGCCTTCATGTGTCCAAGAGATATGCAAGCAGCTTCCCGAACAAGCCGATCATCATCGCTGAGTTTTTTTATCATGCTCTGCACTACACGATAATTTTTTACCCCTAAAATTTAAGGTACAAGACTTGTTAAAAACACAACTACCATTGAAACTTTTACATTGTTTAAAGATTTCTGTATTTGTCTATACTTTTATTAAGCATTTTTATACAATTACAAATAGGGGTGGATGCAATCACATGGCCTTATGCTCCACCTCCCTCCAGCATTCCTGCAAGAAATTATAAATGTTACCTGTTTTGCCAAGTGCGATAGCTGCCACTGCCCTCATGTTTGGATCGCCATCGTTCAAAAGATTAATTAAAGTTGAAATTACTGAGCGCGTCTTGAACTGGCCTGCACAAGTAAGTAATAATAATAATTATCACAATAACAATATTGATAATAATTGTGAAACAGCTTAGCCCAGCCAACTGAAGTGGAGGTATCCACTAAATATGTGCTGAACTGTGGAGACATTTACATATTCCATCGTTCCCGGTTTAATTCTATGTGCTGTGCTGCCCTACTTGGGTTTCATCTGTAGACTTAAAATGAAATTCAAATAGTACACTGTCTTTCAAATAAGACCATGTCCATCGGCCACAGTGCACTACCCAATTCACCACCAGAATTCACCATGTGCTATCCTATCCTCCTTTTCTGACATCATGTAACGTTGATCAAGGCTATCAAAACATAAATTAACCAAAATTATGTTAAGAATGGAAAAATGTATTTACCAAGATTTTGAACTGCATCTAATCTGACTGTACTCTCCATGTCAAACACACTGCGCATCGCAAGCACGCCAAGAGCATAGTCCACGATACGATGATAGAAATTATCAGGATCAGTTGCAATACAACAGCAGAACGATGTGTACATCTTCCTCGTTATCATCTTACGAAGCTCAAAGATGTCTCCGTAGATTAAGTTCATCAACCACTTTTGTCGATGCTCTGGGAAGTTCTCCTTCAGCTGCTCCTTGTACTCGTCAGCAAAAGCATCACGGAAGTCTACCCATGCCAGCTGAGATCTACTCTCAAATCTACGCTCCCAAAAGTCTGGTTTGTCTACCACTTCTCTCTCCACGTTCTCCTCATTTCCAATTATGTAGACGAATCGTTCGTCGCTGATGTCATCGATACCTTCGCTGATGTCTGGTTTCTCGTGCCCCTTGGCTATAGCTCGTTGAATGGATGATATCAGCACGGGGTAATTCTCCTTCCTGTCTACTTCACTTATAAAAAACATCCAATTCAGTTTTGCAAGAATAAGCTTCCTAAAGTAACAAAAAACATACACTAATATACAAGCAATGATCTTATCACATTATTTTACATGATGACTTTACAATAATATAATAAGGTGTGATGGCAAAACAGCGCTAGGTCTCAAGGTTCAACCATCCGCCTCTGCCCTGGCGCAATCCCGGTCCCCTACCTAGGTGGCGCTTATCCAATGCTTTTATGATATCAATAACTTCCAGTAAGGCTGTTTTGGTACTGTGCTTGGGACAATATGCAGATTGAAAAACTGGTAGCAAATCGTTGTCTTTGAGGAATGGTACACTGGAAACAGGATGGTAATTGGTAAACATCTCTGGGTCATGTTTGTGGTGCTTGAGCACTGGATGCAGATTTCAGTACTGTGGGAAATTTGCCTTGACTTAAACTAAGACTGACAATGTGTGTTAGAACTGGAAGCAGTATATCAGTACACTGCTTTAATACAGAAGTTGGCAAAGATTCAAGATTTGAGCCCAAATTAATCCTGTAAGCTAAAAATGAAAACATCCTTACTTCTCCAAATCCTTGATTTGTTGTGATGCAGCTCATAAGAGAGCCACTTCAAACTATTAACTTTTCTCTGAATTCATCGAATACTTACATTGAGAAGGAGAGCTTGCAGTTCAAAGCTGGAAAGCAGTCCCTAGCAATTGGAAAGATGGGCGTGTCTGAAATGTAGGCCAATGAAATGAGATCTTCGCATTGTTGACTTGAAGTTGATCCTTCACTCAAAATGTTAACAAGCACCTAAGTTGAAAAAAAAACCAAAGAACAAAACAAATATAATTATTCAATTTGGGAACACACTGCAATAACACAGATTTCGGTACAGTATTTATCTAATGTAATATTTATATCATAGAATTGGGTTTGGCTTCTTTGAAAAAGGGTTGGATGGATGGACTTATTCAATGCGAAATCCAAGGGTAACCTATGAAAGTCTAAAAAAGAAATATTTCCAGTGGGGTCCTTCTGGTGGTGATTGGGCAGTACACCAGGAGACAATTCATCCCCTCTTTTCAAAAGAGTACAGCATTCTTTTACAATGCACACAGCTTATATATCTCATCCGAAAAGAAGGTGCACTATTGTAACTTGCATTTCAACACTCCAGCTGAAACACGAGAGCAGCGATGGGAATTGAACTGGGCACCTAGAGATAGCCACGTTTCAGTGCACATACAGTGGCTACCACCGGTTTAACCAAATAATCTAAGATGCTCTTGTAATTATTCCGACCAAGAGCCAGCCATTGGCTGACCCCTTGTGCAATATGGCTTATTTAAATATTTTGTGTAACATGATATGCCTATGTTTGGGTGTAATGACAATATCTTCCCCATTGTGGCTCATCGCATAAATTCTTTAGTTAAAATTTGATAGTGTGGACAAAGTTCTATAATACCTTTGATGCAACTAGGAGCTGTCCCACTGACATTGATTTGTCACTTGAGTTTGATGTCCACACACTCAAACCATCTTCACTCAGAGAATCTGAAGCGGTAAACATAAACTAAATATACCAACAGCATCTAACTTTGTATTTGTTGCCTTATATAGGCTTAATAAATCGTCCAAAGACAACAGGACACACTAGAAAATAATGGATAAGAAGTGAAAAACACATACAAAGTTTCTTTTGAGGAAACAATAACAGTTGTTGCTCTTCAACCAAAAAGAAATAAAAACATAAAAGAAAATCAGTTAAATTCAACAATTTGAAGGTCCTTACAAAATATGTCAAGGTGTCAACTAATTCTCACAAATGAGTTTAAAATATTTATTGATAATTGACACATAAGTTTAATATATGGTACAGATACAACAATATCAAAAATGTTGATTACTAGCTTTCTATGCCTTGTCAAGGTTTTTCCACAATGTACAATTCTAATGCACAGGTTCCTGTGATCATGAAAACCAGGATGAATCATGGATTTTTTTTAACAAGGATGTTATTCATGGAAAAATATTGCCGTAGGCCAAACTTTTGTGGGAATGTCATGGAAACAGTCTAAAGATTTGCACATATATACAAAATAATATGGCACAAAATATATATTTAATTTTGTCCTTTTTTTGTATTTAATGTAATAATAGAATTTCGAAAGGAAAGTAATTGAAAAGTTAGAGTAAAGAAGTTGCACGATTGAACCTTAAATGCTTTCAATGTGATATTAATCAACATGCATGTGTAAGAAGGAAATTACCGTATTTATTCGAATAAATACCTCCCTTGAATAACACCCCTCACAACCCTTCTCAACAATAAATGCCCCAGTGCATTTTAATTAGAATAAATAAGTCAGTTATGAATTCGATGAGGAAAGCTTGCCAACAAATGAGGTGCCATCTTCAGTATTAGGCCAAATAAAAAAAAAAGTTGTTTCTCGTCCTAATATTTTGGAAAAAAGGAGAATGAGGGCATTTTTTCCCCCTCCAAGATGGCAAATCCAAGATGGTCGATGGGAAACAGCTACTACTTTCTCACTTTTACAAAGTAGACACATTAAAAGCTAATAAATTAAACACTAAACATTCATTCATACCATATATATCCCAAACACGAACGATCGAGAGAGGAATTTTACTGATGGGACTTTACAGTAGTCAGACTTTCATACATTTCATAAAATAAAGGGGGAAAAAAAAAAGGGCAAAGAAAATGGATGCATGAGGAGGTGAGAAACTAGTAATTTTTTTAAATTTGGCCTTAAATCAAAAGTTCACTTCAGCCCTCTGACCCACTTTGATCCCAACTAACCTATCAGTAGAGGGTCAGGATTATGCACGTGTCTCACAAACACATGTATTGTCCTAAAAATTGCATGGTTTGCATATTATGTTTTTACACTGTTGTTTTGCAAGACCATATCCAAAGGGAAAGGCTTTGCTGATGGTCCATTGTTCTCTTACCTGCAAGAGACTGTGCAAATTCATTATCAGACTCAACACCAATTATCATCACATCATAGCCTCCACTACCCATGTTGAACTTAGTTGAGGATGAGGAATCTACAAAATGCTGTAAAAACAAGATCAGAAATAATACAAGTATTACAGAAAGTTTTATCATAGTTAAGCCGAAAGTTAGTTAGCACCGAGTATCATCCACGTAAAATTAAAATACTTTACAGATGGCATTGGCATACTACTACCTATCGAGTACAATTCTATATGAAATACCTGCTTGTACATGGGCAGATTTAGGGGGCCGGGCCGCCCTAGCCCCCATCCCCCTTTTGGAAAGTTAAATTTAAAAAAAAAGAAAAAGAAAAAATTAATCGCCCAAACAAAACGCCTCAGACTGAGGTTATTTTCAGACGTCTAGAACATTGAAATTTCACGGCAGCATGCCCCCAGACCCGCCAGGGTATTGTTATCTCGATTGGCCCCACTTTTGGTCCCCCTTCTGTCCCCCTCTTTTGGTCATCTCTGAATCTGCCCCGACCTACCTAATATTTTTTTGGTCCTACAGGCTACATATAAATACATCATGCCATCATTTGTCTTTGGAGTCCATTTTTAATACAAATTAAAATGTAGACTTTATAAACTAGCCTACTTACGCTTGTTTTGTATAATACAAACCAAAGGTCCATGATGAGTGAGCAAGAACTACGCCTAGGGGCCTAGGCCTAGTTAAGTAGGCCTAGGGCCTAGTAGTAGTGGAGCAACCGTGTTGATTTCGCTCCACTCTCTGACTCTAAAGACAACCTAACAAGTAAGGTACAGAAAGGGCCTACGAAAATTAAATTCTAGGCCTCTACTACTAGGCCTAGACATACACTATGTAGGTCTAAATCTAACACTCAATACCTAGATTTATATTTTAATAAATAACTAGTTGAAAATTTAGTCTTATAGGCCTCGGTATTTGTCATCCTTACCCCTTACCGCAAAAACAAATCCGGTGTTTTTCCACCCCTAAAGAGCAACATGACATGACTTTCAAAATGTCAAGTGGGGTCAAAGTTTATCTTCTTGCATGAAACAGCTGTATTGATTGTATCATTGTATCCTCCATCACGCACGGGATTGAAGAAAAAGTCTTTATTAGTTTTGCATTTTTAATGATAGATTTGTGTATTACCTATTCTCAGATCGTTTTCAACGATATGTCAGTCTTTTCATTAGCAATACCGCTCTCTGTTTTTGGGGGCTACACAGTCCTTTCACTTGTTTTACTTCGATTTCCGACACTAATCCATCGGAAAAAGATTCTGAAATTCCGCAAATCGCGATGCAATAGATGTCGGCTCATTGCTCACCGAGGAGGTAAGTACGCTGAACTACAGCCTGGACAGCAGCCTAGCCTAAGCCATAGGCCTAGGCTAATAATATATAAAGTTCTTAACCGTTCTGAATCGACAGAAAAAGTGGTTGTCTTTGACTACCATAGTAGTTGACAAGCTTCAACTGTGAAAAACAAAAGGAGGAACCTAGAGAGGAAAAAAATATGTTAGCTGACCTTATTTCACTTTCATGTTCCTTGATTTTGTTTTCTATTTTAGTATTAGCTATCTAACCGTCTAATTACTTATCTTCTCTTTCACTTTTATTCTATGCTTCCTTAACTTTCTGTGATTCCTATTTACCTATCTTTTTTTCTTTCGTCTTCTTTTTCCTTTTTTAAGTACCTTTTCTTTCCTTTCCGCTTTCTTTCTAATGCCTCCTTAGGCATTATTTCTTTAGCTTTACTGTAGATTACCTTTGTAATATTTCCTTATCTTTCTTCTTTTTCTTTGCTTCCTATGTATCCTTGATTTTTCTTGTATTTACTTGATTTCTTTTTTATCCTTTTCATTTCTTATGCTTTTTCATATATATCTTATTTTATCTTATCATATTGTTTCTTTTGTATTCTTTTTCTTTCTTGTCCTTTTCTTTCTTTTTACCGTTTCTTAGGTTGCTTTAAATAACCTTTCTTTTTCTTTCTTATAATTCGTTCTTTTCATTCCTTTTTTTTTCTTATATTTACTTTTCTTTACTTTACTTTAATTTTCTTTATTTGGGTTTTAATTCTTTCTTTTCTGTTCTTTCAATCTTTCTTTCTATTTTTTCTCACACCTTTCGTAGGTGTTCTTGAATATCCTATCTTTTTCTTTCTTATGTTTCATTCTTTCCTTTCCTAGGCCCTAGTTAGATAGTCTAAGCTGTGCAGGTTTAGGCCTAAGACTAAGTGGGCCTAAGCTGGCCAGGCCAGTATCCAGGTGGGTTGTTATGGTTCGGGAGAACCCCCCTTTTCTAGCAAACCCCCCTCTTTTATGGTGAAATTTCCAAAATAAGTCCTCCAACCCAACTAATGCACTGCAGACCCACCCAGACACGACGTTCTTAAACATATCTGCTTTTATAGCATTATTTAGACCCATAAAACACAAAAATCCTCTTGCTTTGTGGGATTGTGGACCCCACGAGGCTTCACGCCCAGAAAACTCCCCTTGGAAGGACCTAACTACGGGCCTGCTGGCCTTGCCATTTAGCAGAGAAAGGCCTTGGATGAAGTGTTCTTGGGATCAGGTGCAATGCATGGACTGCGGATGCACAGCGGGGGTCAAGAGTTATGGTTAGGGTTAAACATTAAGAAGATATTCAACCTCATCTACATACCCGGGGGATGGGGGGTCAATGACCATGTATCGCACCTGATCCTGTTCTTGTTTAACGTGAATGTGGTGCTGTACATATTTTTGGTCCTAAAAAAAAACGTAAGCAAATTGAAACCACACGATACGTCATGCAAAATGTTGACACACAAGAGTAAATACATGCAAAAACTTATTTTGTAGCAATAATTCTCAAAATTCTGATTATATCATTATACCTACATACAATATAGATCACCGCATATTTAGAATGTTTAGACTAGTTTACTCCATGTTTAAATTTTAATAGGAATCTTGAAAATATTTTCAAGATTATTTTTATTAATCCAATTTTATCGATTGCAACTTGTCACTTCTAGAAATGTTATTTATAAAATGATTTTTTATGCAATTTTTGAAATATGGTATGAAATATGTATTACGAAGACGTTAAATTACCTTAGCAATAAAATGATAAGTTTACAACAATTTGTAACCACAATAAATACACAGTGTATTACCAGTTTAACCCTACATTTGCCAGGTGGGGACTCACTCCAATCCCTAATTTTAAAAAGGGGTAAAACAATGATGAAAAACAAATTGAAATGTAAAATTAAGAAATAACATCCAGAAATTCCAATCCTATGTAATTTCTAGTTTGACCTCATTACTTTAACTGAGCCTGCACCATTCAATCATTGATTCTTTACAATGACACTAGGCCTATATCCACTTTCTATATTTAACTATGAAAAGGTAGGTCTTATAAATTTTGGTTGTATTTGCTAATGATTTTGAACGTAATCCCATCAAGCAGTATTCATTCATAGGTTGGTCATCGGAAAATGTATTCACAGCTAATTAATTTTTTTTAAGTGTATTGTCCCCATTATGATTTTAACTTTCATTAGTGTTCAAATGACTTCTCAATGGAGTTACTCAGTTTTATCAAGCCAAGTAGTTATTCCCTTGAATTATCCCATTAAAATTTAGGGCACATTTAAGTTTTTTAAGTGCTAACTGTTGTACTAAAGTAATTGTTAATTACATGATATTAACTTTGATATGGAGAAACATCTCCATTGTTGATAATTACATATGAAATCAATATTAGAACAAAATATGTGTCCTCAATCCTCATTAGAATTCAAGTTAAAGACACTTAGATTTTCCCATTAAGATGCATATTTTCTCAAAATATTTCATAATATAGGTACAGGTATGCAATGATTCATAGTGAATCACATGATAGTACTTTTGATGTTACACAATGAATAATAATATGTCACAAGGTAGTAACTTAGGTATTGAGAAACACCTCCACCAGTGATGAAATATGATTTTTATTTTTTTGAAAGAAAAAGTTACTTTTCCCATAGAGACTTGAACCAAAGAATTGCAGATTTAATGGAGTGTAGGTTACAGAGGACAACAACATGAACTAGTGTATCCCCAAGACCCCAATGTATTTAAATATTTAATTTGTTTTTAATGTGGTTTGGGTCTCAAAACTCTCAATTAACTTGAACTTTTATGAATCAGCAAACACCGGGTCAGCTAAGGTTATTGAATTCAAGTAATAAATTAAAGAGAGAGTGATTATATTACAGTATCACATTTAGTGTCACATAAAGTTTTGTGTCTTGTACAGTGTCTTGTATTTTGTTATAGTAGTCAGCTTTATGAGCTTAATTACTTATTAATATATTACTCCATGCTATTGAATTGGAATTAATAATTACCAAATACCAACCACTATTTCAATCAATAACATTAACTTATGCCCACAATCTAACAATAGACTGTGTTCTTTTAACTTGGAAATATCTATATTTAGCTTGTATTTGTATTGAATCTAATTTCATTTCATTACCTTTTTTAATTCCAGGTAAACATGACAATCGTACAGAAACGAAAACAAAACACTTGAACGATAAATTTGGAAAATGGGGAAAAGAAATTGAGCAAAATACTGTATAAACAGTACTCCAAGGATTGTCGGAGTATAGAAAACTCTTGATTCCCTAATATTGACCAATCAGATAACCGGATTCTTTGGCAAACTTCTGGTAATTTTTTTTGTTGGGGTTGCAATTTTCATCGCATCCGCGATTGAGCATTGTTCGTTCAATAATGAATTAATTATTAAAACAAGTGAGTAATTAAATGTTTTATGAAGGCCTATTTACGTATACACATACAATAAATGAGGAATAACATAAAATTAGGTAAATCAGGGGATAGGGAAAAAAAGGGGCCGCCCATGATATCGTGGATCAAGCCTTGCTATATAAATAGCTCTATTTGAAATTGTTATGTACATTTATTTGTATATCATCGTTGCATTTGGCAAATTGCCTGAGCAGGCCTGACACCCCTCCTCTCCCGGTTCCCGCTCTTGAAATTTAATAGAAACAAAGCAATATTAATCCTTTCATCATCTGAAAATAAATTTACACCCACAAACATGGAAAACACAAAGAAGGTGATACTGTAAACCATAGAATCATAAATTTGGATTAAAATTATCATGAATTTTCCAGTTAAATACAAAAAAATTATAGAAAACAATAAAGAGAATCCTATAAAGGTAATCTTTAATCTCTTAATGGGCGAATTCAGTGCAAAGTACATGGATCTTCTCCAATAATGCTTAACATCACATACTGTAGTCCTGGAGACACTGGTTAAATTCTTCTTACGAACAACTCAGATTCTTAGCTCTGAGCAATGGTCAATTGAGTGTAATAAATTGTAATAAAAAGCTACTTTGGTATAGCAGCAGACAGAGTATATTGATGACTGGTCTGCACAATAATATAATAACTTATGTAAACATTGTAATAAAACACTTGATAATAAAACCAAGGGTTCCACATGCCTTATGCACAGTAACGACATTTGATTGAATCCCAGGTTTGCTCTTCTTAATTTGAATATATCCATAAAATGTCTATGTCTATGTCTGACTGTTACTTGATCCTAGTTCATATGTGTTATATCTTCCATGTCTACTTAATTATTTTATTGATCTTATTGTTTACATTGTCTCAGCATGATTGATGATAAATCAATAGATGTATTTAGTTAAATGCCAGTATTATTAAGCCTCATGTATTGGAAGTGCCAACTTCACGGTAGTGAATTTGCAGTATTTTTACAGTACTTACATCTCCCTGGTTATGTCATCATGGGTTGCAACAATAGCACCTAAAGAGACCTATGTGCCCAAAAGCTAGTGTATCAATAGCGTAACCAAGGGGAGGGGGACGGTGCCTGAGCGCACCCCTTTTTTTGTTATAAGGTGCAAAAAATAATTGGAAATAAATGGCAAAGTAAAGTTAATTTAGATTTTAAACAACCAATTTATAGTGTAGTTATACTGTAGCCATGGATGCTCCGTTCCTACAGTAGTCTTGCACCTTGCGTAAAGTTCAGTGGATGTAAAATTTCTATTCAGCTACAATATTTAAGTGTGTTTTATTTACTCTCATGAGACTAGTAAAGCTCATCTATTTTCACTTAACAAAATTTGCACTATCATGTTTTGGGTAAGGTAGGCCTACTTTAGTTACTCTGTGTCTCAACCTTTATTTGTAGTATAATGGTACAGAAGAATCACATGACTGTTCACTTCCAGCCAGGCTCCAAAATACCTCAACTTGCATTGTTAAGAGACTTTGAAGAAGTTCATTGCTATTTTCCTGCCTTCAGCTACTGTGCATACCACCATGTCTAAGAATAAAAGCCTAGAACCACCAGTTATAGAATCTATTGTAGAACCACTATGGCCTATGTACCTTAATTTCTCCTTGATATCAGCTAATAATGGCAGAAAATAATTTTTTTTTAAACCCAGCTACAAGAAGTTTCAACTTAAAAAAGATATTAGTACCAAAGAACTGAAGTTTCAGTTCACAGATTAATGGCATATGTAAATTTATTTGACATTCTGTCTTAACTTCTTCCTGGAAGTTTAAATTTTTCTTTTTTTTAACCAAGAAATTTAATGATTGATTTAATTGAATTGTTTTTGAATGTTCTAATTTTTTCCCTACAGATTTTTATAAAACTTTAATTAGTTTGTTGGTGCAATTATTATGGGTTATGGTATTAGCAAGCATCTGAGAAAAATATTTTGATCCACTAGTTTCTCTGCCATGTACTGTAATATGCCCGAGGATACTGTCCACAGTCTTCAAGCTTCATCCTATAGTAGTAATAAAGGAGGAGGCCTGAGTGTGAAATTTCAATTCCACATGGTTTCTGAAATTATTCTATAGCAGCTTTTCAGTCAATATTCTGTTTAACGCTGGCAACATGGAAAACGTGTATTTGTATTGACTCGTCATTCCATTGCGAAGAATAGATGTAATTGTTGTTGAAATCAAGTTGAATAACTATTCTGCCATGAATAAACTAATTATAGATGTGTGTGATAAATTACATACTTGTTTATTGCTTGTCAAAATTATGCCATTGTGGCGTATGCAGGCCAATGTATTGATTTCTGGATCTAGCGGTCCAGATGTAAGATGGTACTGTATTACTCTGCGTATGCGTTAAGCAGTCTGTCATTCAATGGATGGTTTTAGTACATGTCAACACTATAAATAAAAAGGATTGCTAATTTTATTTATTTGTTTATGCAATAGATTTAGGCTGTAGGCCAAGGTTTGCTAATAACAAACTATTGTATAAGTGGCAATCTTCTAGCACAAACATAAACATTATAATGCTTTACATATCTTAATAACTTTTTTTATGAGCCCTTAGGGGAGACGTTTTGGTTGTGAGAGAAATAATTCTTTTACATGACAGGACTTGCTAATAGGATTAATTAGTGCTATAGTACCCTGGGATTAAAAGGCAAACATCTTAACCGCCCAGCTATATATATATATAGCTGCACAGAATATATGACAATTTTCATAGCCTATAGGAAACCAGTGCAGTTTAGGGATAAAGACAGAGTGGTAGGGGCCCATGTGGGGCTAATTCCTGACACTTAAAAAACTGGGCAGTTTTTGGTCATTTTAAGTTGTTTTCACGTGAGATGTTTTCACGTATGATCACCACTTCTATTAAGGAAATTTTCTCCTTTTGATCCGTTGAGTCATGGCAGACAGTAAGGTTTCTCCATGGAGTCAGACCGAGCCGCAGCATCATCATCATTATCATTGTCGTCGTCTTCATGTTTATCATCATGTTTTTATAAAAAGCAAAAGAGATTCAAAAATATGGATTTCGACTGTGCAGACAAAACCGCAATTGTGATGGAACATTTAGATCGTTTCGAGCAGACACGTCATGTTTCCCCCAAGGCCTTAAAGATAAAATTCTAATTAAATAAATGAGAACTAATATTAGTTCGGTAGTCAATACTCAGCTCAAACATACAGCCAATTTGCTACCGATTCTTTGTCATGACCATAGCCATATTGTGTGTTCTTGTTTTGCAATTTGTAACTTGCAGTGAATCATGCCTTTGTTATGTTAAGAATGTTACCATAGTTCTAGTTATATCCTCATGTTTGTGTTTTTCCAACATTAATCAGTATTAATGATGAAATTGCCTGCCATTCTAGTATACTCACAGTATTAGGTTGCATCAATAGCATGCTTAGAAATATGAGCGTATGATACGCTCATCACATACACCAGCTAAAAAACACCAATTTTATGAACAGCATTTTTTAAGCCAGACTCTAAAGGAAAAAGATATTTTGATATGTTGTGCCACTGATTTTTCTAAGACCTAAGACACAAAAAGTGTGTTTGATTAAAAACTCAGGCACAGTTAATGAGCTATAGATTTTTGAACATTTTAAAATGGAGGAAAAGGTGGTTGTGCCCCCTTTTCCCACAGTTATTAAACAATTTATATCTTATTAACCTTTCTCAAGTTTTTCATCAGAACAATTTTTGTGTCTTTCAGTTACAACATATAAAACATTTGGTTTTTCTCTGGAGCCTGACTTTAAAAAAAACTGTAATTTACATTGCTACAAAATTTAACAAATATATAGTATTTTTTTTTCTGTTGTTTATTGAAATTATAACTATAATTTATATAATATTTCTTCCCAATTACATCATACTCAAACACTCTTCGCTAAAGGCTCTGCAGTGTTGGTAGAGAAGTATAAAACAAGCATTTCAACAAGGATTGTACTCAAACTCATGATCATTCGGTGCCTGGAAAGCCCAAAGTTTTACTATTGTGCCTCATTTACAATATATATTTCAATGCTGTATAGCGTATTGTGAGATTTATAATAGCATTTCCATACTGAATATATGATCTGATGTTTTAGAATGCAAGTAGTCCTATCAACAAAAGCTGTAGTTTCAATTCAATTCAGTTCAGTCTTTTATTGTCCAGTATATATAAAAAAAAATACATTAGAAAATCTTTGTTTATACACTGCAACATATAAAAGGTAAAACATTCAATATATAAAAAATTAAAATACACAATTAAATTTTCAGTTTCAGTTCAAACATTTAAACATAGTCTATTTAGATTGTTACTTTTTTTTAACCAGGGGAAATAATGTTCAAATACTCTTCAATGGTTTTTGTAAAGATGTAGTATCAGTTAAAAAAGACAGAAAAACACTGCAAATATAAAAAAAAAAGAATTAAATAGCTTATTTCAGAGGATTAAATAAATTATTAGCTTCTGATAAACAGATAAAAAAAAAGTAGTTTTCACCGATTTACAGACATTTTACAAAAATGCATCAGGAATGAAGATAATTTTGTCCATACGGACCATATGCCAGAAACGAGATAACTTAACACAAATTTTTGGACATGGATTTGATAATCGTTTGCATAGCCTGTTTATTACTTTTTCTTATCTTAAATTTTTCAGGTGCAGGAGACAATCTTGAAAACACACTAACAGCATATAATCAGTAAGTAGCCCTACCCTTTTCCATAATTATTGCAAAACTGAAAGTAAGAAATAATGAACCTGTTTATAGCAACACTTTCATTTTTGAAAAAAAAAATGTGTCCATTGTTTCATTGTTAGCAGTGTGTAATTTAAAGTAATTTATTTTGTCGGTCTATTACATACAAGTTCAGGTTCAGATTGAAGTGCTTTTGTAATTTCTTTTCATGCAAGATGTGCTTTATTATAAGAAAAGAACTTTAAGAATATGATAACAATAATCATAATCCTGGTACTAAAGTACGATCTTTTGCAAGCAGTGATTCAATTGATAACGTTACTGTATTTATGATAGATAAAATGATAAGGCAGTTTTTTTTCTCTTTCGTGGGATTTTCACCTACCTTTATTTCTTTATCTTTTTGTTACTTTTTCATTTTTTTTCCAATGATGGTAATGATATTATTTTATTATTATTTGTGGTTATTATTCGCTTGCAGTTAATAATAACCACAAGTGATAATATAATTCAGTTCAATTCATTTCCTTTATTAATCAAGAAGTACATATTTCATAATTATTGTCCTACTAGACTTAATGAAAAATATAAATATATTATACCAGCGTTACACAGCCAATAAAACATGCTTACAACTACGGTAAATAATGTTTAATTTAAGCAGTTTAAGCAAAAATTTGCAAATATATTGCCGATACTTAGTCAGAACCCTGGAACTTTTGATTTAAAGGCCATTCCACTGTACTGTACGCTTCTTCCAGGATGAAGGATGTCAAGAAAAAAAAACCACCCTACTGTACAGTACATTTCATCGCTCACATCACGAACTAACACAACCAAAGTAGCGCGTCAAAACGAGCGCGTATTTGTTGTCAAGCAATTTTGTATTCTTTACCACACAAAAAGTCCTTAACAACAACAGCGCGTATTTTGACGTGCTGTCTTGATTTCACGAACTAACACAATCTACTTTGATTGTGTTAGTTCGTGATGTGAGCGACGATTTGAGGTTTTTGTCTTTAATTTTTTGACAATAGCTTTTCAACAGCCAAATTCTATGAACGTAGTCTTCTCATTCCATTTGATCCTGTAAAGAAAATAAAATAAATAAATAATATATTATATTGTAAAATATATAGATAGAAAATATCTAGTATACATTTTTGAAAAAGTATAATAAAATAATGTAGCAAAAGTATTAAAACATGACCAAAATTTATGATTTTTTGAATGGCTTGGCAAATTATAAATATTAGCTAAGGAAGAAATCTACATTATGTATGTGAAATTTTACAGATTAAGTTTACTTTTATGTTTAAAAGCTGTAAATAAAGAAGCCCTCCATTGCCATGGTAATCAACCCTAAATTATTCGAGAAGAAGTAGCAATGATAATAGAGTATTGTGAGTATTATCATGCAAAAATCATTAAGATTGGTATTGAGATATCAATTTTTTTATATATATATATTTTTAGTGCAATGAACCTGAATTATGATATGCTTGAAATTGATTGCCAGTTCACCAAAGATAAACAAGTGGTTATCGTTCATGACGATGTACTTACCAGGGTCACAGGTCAACCAGTGTCCGTTAAAGAGACAGAGTATGTTGTAAGTTGCCTCAGAGATCACATTAATTAATTGTAGGCTAGCCACAATGTTGTGAATAATATAGGTTTGTTTGACCTTTCTACACATAAGCTGCAAAAAGAGAAAAAAAATAAGCTGTGCACTAATGAAAATTAATGTTGGGTTTTGGATATTTCAATAATGTTGTAAAATAATGATGTCCAATTTTATATACTTAATGCTTAACAGGCCAGACTATGCCAGCACAAATAGCTTTTTCCCATTTGGTTAAATATTTAGGCTGTTCCAGGGCTGCCTCAGTGCATTGGAACACTTCTAGTGGCAAATTCAAGAATTTGAAATAGAGGAGGCCTTTGGAGAGACTTTCACAAATGGAGATGGTCCAGACCACCTCAGCCCCACCATGCCCCACCCCCTCC